TGTTGGGAATACTAGATGTCCACAAGCAAAAGAAAGAAGTTGGAACCTTACCCTATACCATATACAAAAATTTATTCAAAATAGATTAAAAATTTAAATGAAACAACTAAAACTCCCAAAACAGAATATAGGGGAAAGCTTCAAAGGCATTGGATTTAGCAATGATTGCTTGGATATGACACCAAAAACACAGGCAACAAAAGAAAATATTGATAAATTAGACTACGTCAAAAACTAAAACTTCTGCGCACCAAAGGACCACAATCAGAGTGAAAAGGCAACCCCTGGAATATGAGAAAATATTTGCAAATCAAATTATCTGATAAAAAATTAATATCCACAATATTTAAATAACGCCTATAACTCAAAAAAAAAATTTAAAAAATTTTAAAAAGCAACGGTCTTAAATAGACATTTCTCGAAAGCCAACATACAAATATCCAGGTAGCATATGAAAAGATGCTCAACATAAATAATAATTATGTAAATGCAAATAAACCAGTGGGATATCACCCGACACCCATTAGGATGACTAATATGAGAAAAACAGAATATAGTAAGTGTTGGCGAGGAAGTGGAGAACTGTAATTCTTGTGCACTGTTAGTGGAAATATAAAACAGGGAAGCAATTTGGCAGTTCCTCAAAAATTTAAAAAAGAGGTTTACCATATGATTCAACTGCACTTCAGGATATATATTCAAAAGAATTTCACATTTGCACACCATGTTAATAGCATTATTCACAAAAGCTAAAAGGTGGAAGCAACCCAAGTGTCCATCGACAGATGAATGGACAAGCAACATGTGGTATATACATACAATGAAATACTAAGCCTTTAAAAGGAATGAAATCCTGACCATGCTACGTGTACAAACCTTGAGAACATTGTGCTAAGCCAGTCAAAAACAAACACAGTTGACCTTTGAGCATAGGACTGAACTGCAATGGGTCTAATTATATGGGCTTTTTGTTTTTTTAAATAAATACGGTACTACAAATGTCTTTTCTTTATGATTTTCTTAACATTTTTTCTCTAGCTTATTTTATTGTAAGAATACAGGATATAATACATATAACAGACAAAATATGTGTTAACTGTTAGTGGCACTTCCAGTCAATAGTGGGCTATTAAAGCTGTGGGAGAGTCAAAAGCAGGTGTCCCTAACCCCAGCATTGTTCAAGGGGCAACTGTACTATATGATTCCACTTATACAAGGCATCTCTAGAGTAGTCAGATTCATAGAATAAGAAAGTAGAATGGAAGTTGCCAGAAGCTGAGAAGAAGGGAAAATGGGGAGTTATTTGTTTAATGGGTATAGTTTCAGTTTTGCAAGATGAAAAAGTTCGAGACTGGTTGCACAACAATGTGAATGTACCTAACATTACTGAACTATAAATTTGAAAATAGTTAAGACCATAAACTTGATGTTATATGTTCTTTACAATTTAAAATTTAATAATAATATTCAGGGACTTAAAAAATTTACCGAATACAGTTCACCATTGTATTTCCAGTTCTTTTTCAGCACAGTAGTATGTTCAAGTATAACCATCTACTTTCTTTTGAAAAGATGTCTATAGGTCAACAAATACCAAACTATTGGTAATACATTTGTTGATAGCCTGTGGGAAACCAAAAACCCAAATGGGAATCAAGTTTTCATCACTTGACCTACCAATATTAAGAGATGCCTATATTTTGTACTACCCAAGTATTAAATGTGTACTGCTTAAGGAGGAAAAAAAAGTATTTTTATAACTCTACCTGAATTTTCATGCTAAGTTCTCAAAAAGTTCTTTATGCTCAAGAATAAAATTAGTTAAAATTATTCTTCCTAAGATTCATTCTATTTATCTTGTCTGAAAGCCACCATTTTCCAATGAAGTTAACACTTAGCACTGAAAATCCTCAAAAAATTAAACACATATTATATATAACATTGTTGGGTATTGGTCAAGGATTATCTTCACAGACAGGACACAAGAGTAGTAGGTCAGGTAGCATTCTAAATCCTGGAGCATTCTAATCAGCACTAGTATATTGAGTAATAGGAATATGGAATCAGTCCAGTGACAAAAACGATGAATTACAGGCCAGAATAATATTTAGCATCTGAATCTAACTGGAACCTAACTTTAAAAAAAACGGGGGGGAGGAAACAATGTTGGAACAATATGAAAAATAATCCAATCTACGTATAAAACTTTAATCAGACTTCTAAACTTTAGATGTGCCCTAACTTTAGAAATTAAGGCTGATTCAGATTTTCAGTGGCTCTCAAAGATCAGCATTATTTTTGAAACTCTGGTGAACACATGTGAAAAATAAATATATATCAAATTTAGCTGCATTGATAAGCAATTTAATAAGGTACTGCTATAATTAAGGAAAAGACTGACTGGAAGCTACACATTGTTCCATGATTATAGAAATATCAGCAAATAGTACTGACTATCAAAATTAAATATTTATAAGGACTTCTATATGCAAGGAATTTTTTTTAGTGGGATATCCAAAGTGCTTGAGGAAAACATATACAAAGAATCATTCTTTGTTCTCAGCTAAACTTACTGAGGCCCTGCAAATTCCATTAGTATCCTAGCTAATATCTCAAAGGTGTTTTATTTACAGATATGCTAATTAATGCAATATAGATATTAAAAATACTTTTAGTCATGGAAAAATCACTTATGTGCATGTATGCAGGGGGAGCAGGTGTGGCAGTATCTATGCCATACATACATACACACACACATACATACACACACACACACACACACAATTAGATGTTTAAGAAAATTTATACTTAAAAGGTTTTCACATGCTCTATAAAATCAATATGCTGTCTTTCATCTAGCTGACCTTTTCTCATTTCCTTCAATTATTGTGATTATATACAAGTGTTTAGTGCTGTGGGCTCCACAGATCCTAGGTACAGAGAGCATGATGAAAGGGAAGTTATTTATGTAAAAACAGGTTATAGAATAAAGATGTTCCACAGAAAATAGGCAGATACAAAGTACTTTTACAAAGAAGAAAATGCATGAACTATATTGAGAATTGAGACATCCAAAATTCTTCACAATTTATCCTTTCACTGAATAGTAAATGTATACTAACTAAATTAGCAGAAGAAAGTCTTATGATGAAATTATCTTCTTGAAAGATGTTTTCTTCTCACTAAACGCTCTGTTCAATCATTTTTTCATTTGGAAGCTGTGGTTTCCTAAATTAGTTTAAATGCTAGTGTCATTTTTATGTACCAATTCAGGACTAAGGCATTAATATTACTCCTTGCCTCCTTGCTTATTCATCAAAATAACTGAGAAGTATTATTCCTCCCCCTTGTTGAATTAATAAATCCAAACATGCAAAAACATCCTAATCTCCAGGCTCTTCTCTTGGTCAAAGTGGTAACAGCACAGCAGGACCACCTTCAACCTCAAACTTTCTGTAAGCTTTATAGACAAGAACTTAAGTGATCTCCAGTGGAAGATGGCAACTGGGAAAAGGAAAATACAAGTTTAAATTACAAATGTCCTCAGACTCTCCATGATCATCAGTTTTTCTAAGGGAGCATCCTAAGAAATATTTTTAATTAGCTTATAGGAAGTAAATGTGTCTAAATGCCTTTCCACTTATGAAATGTAATGCAGAAAAACAGGAAATCAATAGTTCTGCTACATACTGACAACCTGACAACCAAAAAAGGATAACCAAGTAATGGCAAGTTTCAAATTTGTTTCTGAACTGAAATTTAGATCAAAACCTTAAGCAATGAAAGACTGTACAGCACTACATAAAACAAAGAAATATGAAAGGAAAGGAAATCCATTATTTTACAGGAAAAAAAAAAAACCCTGAAAAATTCATGGCAAATCTGCCTAAAATACTGAGTTGCAAAATAAAGCAACACAGAGAGGGGGAAACAAAAAGATTAACGTGGTAGGAAAATACACATTTACTTAATTAAACAATGGGAGTGCAATTAGATAAAAATAGAAACAAAGTGACTCTGAATTTCAAGACATATTAAATGCTATATGGCTAAGATACCCCTAAGTAAAGTGCAAACATTTCTAAACCAAGGGAAAAATTCTGTTTCTTTCTATATAAAGCAAACACAAGTTGTAGTAAGGAGATTATTTGCTCCTGAAATTTGTGAAACTCATGAAAACTGTGGTTCAGGAAACTTAAGAACAAAATGTATACCTAAATGTATCATTGCGGTAATAGTGCTTTGCACTACAGCATAAAAATTAAACTCCTTGGATTTAATATGCTTTTATGTGTAACATTACACATAAAACATCTTCTATTTCCCAGGCTTGCAATCTCAAGTTTTAACAGACCACCTTACATTATTCCATAGTGAACCATCAGGTGATTGAAAGCTTTTGTCTCATCTTCAAATAGACAAAAGCAAGTGCAGTAGATGGAGTAAGGAAAGGTCTTTTCATATTTTCAAAAAGCCTCTTTTCTGAGGTTTCAAAATTAAAAAACAAAAACACCCATTTATATAGTTGGTTATTGTATAAGTTTCAAAAGCTGAGAAATCTTAACATATTCAGCCAGTTACTGCACTCCAATGAAAATCTTACCTTTCGGAGTACACAATATGGTTAAATTTAAACCGTGATACAACAGAATAATTTCCTCTAACATTTTCACTAATATAGAAATGAAAACCACTAATCAACTAGTGTCTGTAACTTATTGCAGACTAATTGCCTGTAAGCAGAGAATCAGAGAAACTGTGTGGTAAGGCAGGACATTTACCCATTTATGTCATGAGTGCAAGGTAAAAAACACATTTTAAGATGAAAAAGAGGACTATGAAACCTATATAGTATGGTCAGAGTTTCACTTTTGTATTATGTGCATGTTGTATTTTAATCTGAAATGTTTTATACTTGAATTTCATGTTATATAGTTTTGGGACTGTTTTTTTCCACAAAAAGAAAAATCAACTGTTTTCCACCTTAATATTCAACCTACCTGCCCATAGTTGTCTATGCCAGTTACTAATCTATTTAAATTTAATAAATCAAAAGCTGTCCTTAGGGATTGGCCAAGAGTCGTAAGTCCTTCAGCCTGAAGGTTTTTCAGTTCATTCATAAACGTTGCATGGTTTTCTTTCCATCCGGCCTAAAAAGAAATACGTAAGAATTTTTTTCATGTTTTAAAGCCATGTATACACGAACAACCACTACAATCTGTGGTTCATCAAGAAGCTGCTTCACTTTACACTATCGTTTGATTAACGCGTTAATACCTTATCACCGCTGAAGAAACTCTCTTCCAAAGGTGGCCAAGGATAAACCTGCCGCGCTACAGCTTTGGACAGCCTAACTACTTTATAACTTCCCTGGGACATGTACTTTCTAACCTAATACCCAAAATTTAGGGATGCAAAGTGCTAGTGGAAAGCAGACGTGGGTAAGACTTATGAAGTTAACCTACAGCTACCCCACGGGCCTCTCGGGAAGAAGCTTAAGACCAAGACCCGCAGCCACCAAACGAGCTCGATCCCCAGCCTGAGAGAGCGGCCAAGCCTCCGGCCGATTTCCCTTTAATGCAAACCCAGGCTCCGAGCGGCCCGGCCCGGCTGTCACTCGGGCTAACTTGAATAAATATCCCCCACAGTTCATTGCTGCCGCTCACGCCGCGGAGGGGAAATGTCGGCCATGTTGATCGCAGCGCCACCGCCGCCGGGCCGGGCTAGGGAGGGGACGGCGGCGGCCCCGCGACTCCGAGAGGCGCCAGGGCGCTCTAGAGCGGGGGATGGGGTGGGAGCCCGTAGGGAAAAAGACCTCAGGGCCTAGAGCACAGCGGGTGGGGGAGGGGAGCATAATGAAGGGTGAATGGGGGGGAGGCGGAGGGCGAGCGAGGAAGGAACAGGGAAGGGAAGGGAAGGGAAGGGGGAGGGCAAGGGCTGTTACCTTGATAGCATAGGGCGGCTCTTCGAAAGTGACCAGCATATACCTGTCTCCTCTGCTGGCAGGATCCCGGGCACGGAGCTGTGGGAGAACGGGTGGGAGACGGGAGGAAGAAAACGGCAAGCGAAAGGGAAGCACAGAGGCCAGGTTACAAGGCGGAGAAGGGGCGCCCAGCGGCCCCGCCGCCCCCCTACAGTACTGCACATGCAGAGGCCACCCCTCCACGCCACCCCCCACACACAGATCGGCCCCTACACACCGCCTGGGGCCGGAGCTCGGGCCCGGGCCGAGCCCGGCTCGCAG